AAATTAGAAATAGGAGAATATGAACACGGATGATCATAATTCTTCCAAGCTGAGAAGCAGGCGGGGAGCGTAGGAAAAGTGTACCATTCCTTTACAATATCTGATAAGAGATGAAAATCAAAGATCGACAAGAATGAAGAAGAAAGAGAAAGAGCATAATCTATGTCAAATCCTTTTTTCTTGTTTCTAACAGTGGGATAAAATGAAGAAGCATAAGGCGAAAGTTTAGAAAACTCTGCCTTAACTATAGTTGGGGGATTGGTTGAGAATTATTACCGGGATTCGATGTTTCTAGGTGTTTTTGTTTTTGTTCTATAAAATCATTTTTTAATTTCATTTTAATGTTTTCATTATCAGCATATCGTTTCATCCATTGTGGTAATTCAGTGCCTAATTTTTCACACGTGGATAATAATGATTGTCCTAATGTTGTTTTATCATTTATTAGATTTTTTTTTATCATCGTCGGAATAACATCAAGCATCAATTGACATATTGGTGATACGAACTGGCTAACAAAATCATGTTGAAAGGATAAATCTATTTGATGTAATTGAATATCATGATCTTGTTTAACAATTAACTGATGAATTTGAATGTGTTGATTGTAAGAGTTACTATTAAAATCCATTATCCGATTGATATTTTGATTTAACTTGTCCATCTTCTGTACAAGTTCGTCTAATCGTCGATTAGTAGCTGTAAGTGAATCATTACACCATGGATGACCATCTTTATTACCATTCAATTGAGGATAATCATTTTTGTTATATATATAATTTTGTTGTACATTTTGGTTCATACCTGTAATGTTAGAAGAAGTTGATAATAACGATCTTGTTAAATCTATTCTGTATGCTTTTATTAATGGACAATGATTATCACTTGCTTCATGTGGACCATTACAACGAATGCATCGTTTAATTTTATCACATTGATGATCTTTAACATTCATTACACTGGTACCACAAGTTCTACATATTTGAAGTTCACTTTTACATACACCTCTAAAGTGACCTATTTGATAACATTTCGTGCAGACAAGCACTTTAGCTGGGCTAATATATTCAGTAACTGTATATCTAATATTATTAACATACATAAATTTTTTCTTCAATAGTTCGTCAATAATTTTGATACTCTTAATATCGAGTCGTACTAAAGTTGTTGGTTTTTCATCTTTATTTGAAATACGAAAAGCATTAACTACATCAGGATAATCATTTTTTATGTTCACCAATAGTTCATCAATATTAATATCAATTGGAACATTACGTAATATTATCGAAAATTGAGCAGGAAGATGTTTAGCACCAGCTTTTTCAAAAACAATAGAATTTAAATGTTGAGGCCATTTTTTGTCATCATAAAGTAGAACAAATGATTCTCTATTACCTGCAAACAAAATGAGATCACGTTTACCTTTCAATCTGTGTCCAGCAATTGATAAATCCATACAAAAATGTTCGTTGAAATGTTTTTCAATACTTTTAATAATAACATTTTCGTTGACATCTTGTGCAAATTTGATAATGATGGGTGGGAAGGGAAAACGTGTTTGTGCAAATCGAATAGCTTGTTCCGAAATAACATTTTTCATATCCATTTCATGATTATGTGAATATGTTTGACTAGTACTTGGTAAAAGAGAATTACGTTGAAGTGATGTATTAGTTGTAATAATATTTTTGTTTGTAGGTGCGTCAGGTTGGTGATGATGTTGGTATAATACATGATGTTGTGGATAATGTTGATACTGTTGATGATGTTGATAATGTTGATGATTTGTTTTAATTTTCTTTTTGTTTCTTTTAACTAATATAAATTCATCATTATTATTAACATTCAATGATCCGATCTCTTGACCTTATTCATTAAAAATTTGATGTTGAGAATCATAATGTTGTTGATTAAGTGGAGGTGAGATGGGGATTGGTGTATCTTGATCATCAATTGAAATATCATTTTGAACGTTCGTGTTTTGGATTATAGAAGAGGGCTGTGAAACCAAGGGGAGGGGACATATCATGTTATATCTATAGTCTAACATGACTAGGTACCAGGATCACAAGCCTAACGATCTTGTTTAATTAGTTAGGATGTGATTTTCCGGTCACGTTTTGAGAACAAAATGAACACATGATCAGAAGATAAAAAAAAAAATACGTATATAACGTTTGAATATATATATGACGAGAGAAAAGAAAACACGTCCTATCGACGTATGTGTAACATGAAGAATGACTTGAGTGATTATTTAGTTCGATATGAAAGATGATCGTTTCTGTAATGATGAAAACAAGAAAAAGCAAAACAACTAGCAGCACAGACTAAAAACGTCAATCACTGCATTTATCAAAAGGTAAATGCAGAAGAAAATAGATCTAGTAAATCGAATCGCCTCGAATGTGTTAATTAATAAATAAGTGAGAGAATGAAATTATTATGATCTGCTATAATACTTGAAGCAAGTAAATGAATTTTATTCATAAGAAAAAAAAATGTTTATAAAAGAAGTTTCTTGTTGTTCCATGTTAATTTTGAAATGGAATGAAATATTTAAGTGTTTCACTTTCTTCATCAATGGGTTGTTGATAATATTCAGATAGATGATTAATTTGAAAATAATGGGTTACAACAAATCTTGGGTCAACATCACCTGAACAGACTTTATCTAAAAACATTTTCCAATATTTTTTGAGTATGAGATTGCTCAACATAATGAATAAATTTTTTTCCATTATAAGACCAATAGGAATATCATTAACAGCATTAATAATCATCAGTCATTGAAATCGTTCCAGATTTTTGACTACATGTAATCATTTCAGCTAATATATTCACATCGTTTTCGATTGAAGAGAATATTCATTGATAAGTTAATGATTTAGTAGAATTAAAGCAGCAGCTTGTAATAAACAATTAACACCATCAGGTATTATTTCAAGTAATATTTTGTTATTTCATATTCTTTAATATTAATTCTTTCAATCATAAGTATTGATGGACAAGTTCAAGTCGTCGAGGCACATAATCAATACCAGTTATAAGTACGTTTAACACTAAGTATTTGATACCAACGTGCTTGAAGTAAACCAACAGGTCCTAAACCCCAAATAGTAACAGTGAACCTTGTTTAACATTTCCAATTTGACATCCATGATATGCTGTTGGAATAAAATCTAATAAATAAACAGCTTTACCATCTGATACATCATTTTCTATTAGTAAACAATTAATATCAGCAAATGACACTCGAATATATTCGGCTTGTCCACCTAGTATTTCACCTTTTAATCATGAATATCCAAAACAGAGTAATGTTTTCTTGAAGTTTTGACGAATGAGTTGTATCATAAACAGAATATTATTGACGCTGACAATATTCACAAAAACCACAAACTATGTTAAATGGAACAATACCACACTATTCAACATGTAATTTAGTAAATGGATTATCAAAATGCTAGTACATGAGATTTAATTCCGTATTTATTTGAATAAGATAAATGTAGAAATCTTTAATGAAAATTTTATTTTTGATAATAATCAGGGAATTTTCGATCTTCATATGATCATTTTCAACCAAAATATCGTAAACTTTTAACAAGATGTTACGAATACAAGATAAAAAGAGGACAAAAAAGAAAAAGTGGATCAAGGTGAAATGTACTAATCCTAACATCTTGTTTTAAAGTTTATGATATATTGGTTAAAAATGATCATATGAAGATGGAAAATTCCCTGGTTATTATCAAAAATAAAATTTTTATTAAAGATTTCTCCATTTATCTTATTTAATTAAATACGGAATTAAATCTCATGTTCTAGCATTCTTATATTGGATTATTACAGTACAATCCATTAAATATCTCCAAGAAATTAGAAAAAAACGTTGAAAATATTTATGTTGATATATAAATTGTGTTAAATTTAATGGGCGAGATGAATAACGAGTAAATATGGGTCATGAAAATGGATTTTCACCATGAAATGTGCTCAATAATGATATAAGTGATATAAAAAAAATAAGGTAAAACAATAAAAAAATTGAAATAGAATTAATGAACGCCAAACATTATCATTTAGAAGTAAATCATTTCTGTAATTGTCAATGGTGCAAGATGAGCATAATTTTCCCGTAAAATTAATTTCCAATAAAATAAGTAAAAATAATACAAATGAAATCCATCGAACTATTTATGGTGTATAACAAAGTAATGCTCTTAGACCTTCACTAATATATGTAGAATATGTTTCCATTGCATGAACAGAAGCGGGCACTCGATAAAATATTGGTGATAATGGATTTGATAAAGGTCTAAAATAAATAAAGAATATTTTTCACAGTTAAAAGAATAAATTAATTTTGTTATAATTACTGAGTCCAATAATGCCATGACATTTCTGTGCCATCTTTCCAACTTGTATCTCCACCAGTATACTAAAATAAAAGTAAATTAATGAAGATTGCTTTTTTCTCTAATTTTTATACTTTTCCAACAGCTCCACCAAGCACAATGCGAAACAGAGGGGTCCATTGAATAAAAACTAATATTTCTGCTTGTGCAGCCAGAACGGGTATGGGTGTGGCTGTCCGTGTGCGTGCTAATGTTCTGATATCTCACAAGAACACCCACACCCACCCACCCAAACACACATCCCTTGCCGTAACTTGTATATTTATGCTAATCATATTTTATTTTGAAAGCATTTTAGATTACTTTTCTCTTGCTTGGCAATGTTGGAGAAAATTTCTTGATTGCTTGACAAACATGAAAGAAGCATATGAAAAAGAAACATTAAGTGAAAAAAACAAAATAAATGAATTGATTTAACTCTATTTATTTAGTAGAGAAAAAGAATATTTCTCTGATTTTAGTTTAATATGTATGCACATGTTTGGATTTGAATTACTTCAAATAAGTTATTGTTCAACGAATGACTCTTTACTTTGTATTGAGAACTAGCCTTCTATGTCAATGGTCTCATTCAATATTTTTTAAAATATGTGATATATATCTGTTTCGTGAAGAAAATTCGTAAGAGTCAAATGGTTACTCTATTCGAGTAATGACATACTCAACATTTGATTAAGTCATCAACCAAAATGTAATGGTGACAATGATTTTTTTCCAATTGTAAAAATGAGAGAAAGAGGCGCCTTAAAAAACAACATGTTTTGAATAAAATAATTACTTTATATGAGTCGAATACATCTTCATTCAATTTTGTGGAACTCACATATATTTTAGAAGAAAATAGTGAGTGTAAGTTTTAAGTTCAAGTTTTGGCGACTCCCCCTCTCCTTTCTCTCCATTAGAAACACTTAGCAACGTAGGTTCCCATTATAGACATCACCCTTCCATTACAGACCTCAACAATCGCGCGCAACAGTCTTCAGATTTATTTATTAATAAAAAAGGAGTTGAACAGTATAAAGAATATGAGCTCGACTGTTATACAGTATTTCAACGCTCTCATAAATATTTGAAAAACTATACTATGTTTGTTAAAGTTCTTAATAGCGAAATTGTCGGCTCTTTTTTAGAATTTAAACTTGTATTTTAAGAATGAAAAATGAAGAATAGTGATAGATTGACCTGTCATGGCAATTATATGGTCGACATGAAAACCATGATTCGATCTTTTTATCAATTTAAAAAATAAACGATATCACCATTTATGAGTTGATTCAGATATATAGTAGTACCGTAAGATCTGCTGATGCATATATTATAATGCATTATTATAATAGTCTGATTGATGAGATAGTCGATAGTGACCAAAAATAATAATATCAAATTAAAAAAAACCAAAAATGACTAATATCGAGTGCATAACAACAATTATAAATGAAATCGGGCTCTCTCAAACAAAAAGAAATTTTCTGTTTTAAATGTAGAAATAAATAATAAAGTCTCGCTCTTGTCATCGATTATCAATGAAAACAACTACAGTATACAAAAGAAAATTTTAGTTTATATACGATGTCTTATGATATTAAGGTTTAAGGATATATGTGAGTTCCGTATTTTAGCTCCAAGCGAGCTGCGCTAAAAAGCTTTTACTATCTTGGCACACTGAATTCTTTAAACTTGATCAGAGTCTGAGGTCAAGTGTTTTTAAATTTGTCCAAAACTCTTCAGAAACCTAGTTTAATACATGAAATATGATTTCAAAACAGAACCAAGTCAAGATAAAAATAGTTCATCAGAAACTTAAAGTTTATTTTCTATGAATTTTCTTCGAACAAACAGTACCCTACAGGAAATTCGTCAGCATTGGCAAAATGAAATCATAACAAGTTATCTTTATTAGTCGTGCTATTATATGCTTGGATTCGATTGCTGATTGTCAATAGTTCAATTCGAATGTGTGCGTGACAGAGTGACATCATCTCCGATTTTATCATTATCAAGTTTCTAGGAAGCGAGTGTCGATATTATAGAATGAAAGACCATGCAGCAAATTTTGACATATGACAAAGGGGTGAATATAAGTCTTTGTAAACATTACGTGATACATTCTTTAGCACTAATGTGGTACGAGGTCTTTGATTGTAAGCATTGTCGAAAGAAATATTTGGCTAACAAAATAAGCAATGAAATCGGGATTGTTGAGTGATAACACTGGTGTGTGTTTAGATAGATCTGTTAAATCCACCTAATAAAATGGTTTATAGGTTAATAGGACATTGAGTTGCAAAAAATAGTTCAAATGAACAATTAATATGATCAGATCGCGATAGAATTCTATTTCGAACTCATATTATCAAACCTAACTGTAAACATTGGCAGTTCGGCTAAAATATGACTAGCTTATTAACAAATGAAAGGCATTCGACTAAATGAATTTGCACGATGTTGAAAGACAACGAGATCATTCTAAATATTACATTCAACTTTAGTCACAAAAATTTTGTTAGAGACACACTAAGAGTATGTGAACAATGTAAATATTATAGATAGTTCACTCGACGTTTTTTTTTATTAATATAGTATTATGTGAAGGTCATTATTTAAACGCAAACATATTCATATTATGTAAAAATGAATAGAAACTGTTTTGATTAAAAAGATTTTTTCAAGGATAAATATTGAACATTCGCCCAAAAAATTACTAGATTTTTTTATTCTAACAAGACATTGAAAATACAAGACACTTCTGTGTTAAGATTATATCTATATATGGGCGTGCTCCGCCATAGGAGGCCCCAACTTCTTTTTTGCTCATATAGCTTCATTCCAATATTATAAAAAGGTAATTTTTTTACCATTTATAGTATACACGTTATGCTAAAAAACTATTGTTGTTTGGGCTCTATATCCTATTGAAAACAGAGATTTACAAATACTTTCTCTATAGATCTTCCTTTAAAGTACTTTGCAGCTGACCTCTTAATCTAAATCATCTCTTATACCTATTTATCATTTTGTGGGGACGTGTGAGGAGATGACATTCTTTGTTTTCTCCTTTCTTCTCTGAAATTTATCTTTTCCTTAGTATATATTTTGTGCATAATAACATTCTATTCAGTCGGTTGTATCCTTGTCTTGATCACATTACTCGTGTTCGAACTAAGAATATTTTTTCTTTTGTGCATTCTGTCTTTTGTCAAACAAATTTTCAGTCAAATACAAACACAAATACTTTGCATTATGTCATCTTCGCAAGTAGAATGGGGTTGTTCTCAATGTCGATCAATCATTACTGATCATCAAAAATATTGTGCTAATTGTCATTCTATGTTAACTTGGAAATGCATTGGTTCGGGAAGATCTGGATTATATAAAAACGTTTTTCGACATCGTGATAACTGTATTGATTGTACATCAGAAATTAAAGATAAACCACAAGGAGTCGAAGAGAAGCATATTGCTATTCAACAGCTTCAAATCTTGAATAACGGTGAGTGGAACTTAGGCAATGCATTTAACTATAGTTTTCTTTATGAATATTTTTTATCGTGCAGTGTTGAACAGATTAGGATTGTTAATACATTTTGGTTTGTTTTCATTTTGTAGAGCAGCGTCCGTGGTCTGAATGGAGTGGAACGAATCAATCCTGTGTACAACATACAGGAAATGATATTGAACAAGTACATCAATTATATTCTATGTGTGAGCAGTCACTTATAAATTATTGCATGCACAGAACCAAGCAGCAATCGGACAATGTCAACACAATATCTTTATCTCCTATGAACTTACTTGTGGTGACATTATGGTACTTGAAACATTATCACTCGGAACGATATATTGCCACTGAAGTATACTCAAGTCCATCTACAATACATCGTATTTTAACCGAGGTAGTGGATATCTTACATTCGTGTGTATATGAAGAACTGGTTTCATTACCAATCGATATGGACAGTAGACATACCGCTCATGGACCTGAAGAACATCATAAATTAATAGTTGACACAACTTCTATTGCTGTTCCTCAACCTAATGATTCAAAACAACGTAAAGCTTACTTTAATTCAAAAAGTGCAACGAATTATGCATTTAAAGTGCAAATAGCTTGTGACTTTAATTATCGAATAGTGCACGTTTCCGAATGTTATCTTGGAAGCGTTTATGATATAACAATTCTACGAGAGTCGGGTCTATTAGAACATGTAAATGACCCTGTACAGATTATTGGTGATAAAGCTTATATTGGAGAAAAATATGTCATCACTCCAAAGAAGAAGCCTCATAGAAGTGAATTAACAACTGAAGAAAAGGACTTCAACTATAACATCAATAGTGCAAGAGCCGCTATCGAAAATATCAATCAACGCATCAAAACTTATGCTGTTCTTGGTAGTGTTTATAGAGGAGCTGTTGATGATTTTGATAAAATTACCAAGATTTCACAGATTGTTTGTGCTTTGTGTAATTTAAACTTAATTAAACATCCTATTCGTAAATAGAGAACATGAAAAAATAGTTAGTTTATTAATCAAATATCTGATAATAAAGCTGTTCTGGTGTACTCTAAGGTTAACTTTCTATATAAGAGATGATATAGACTAAAAGATCAG